TTCTATGGACTCCTGGGACTAAGAAAAGGAACTCTAACTTGCAGGCTACATACACAATGTTTTCAGCTGGCTGACAAATACAAATGTCATAGCTAATGTTCAACAATAGATTGATGCCCAATATTAGCTGAAGGGCAGGCTAGTTAACAGTCTACGTAAGTCAAAATAACAGGCAATTTTCATGTGAACTATCAAACTCACCCTTAGTTTCACAGTTATATTTTTTTGATTGAACCAGTAAAGTAGACTTCATATTTTATAGTGGGCTTTCTTGAGTTTGAGTTACACTTAACAGAAACTTAAGGCCAACATTAGGTATTAACTTTAGCATACGTATACACAAACAGAATGACTCTCACTAATGCCTCACAATTGCACCCAAGCCTTCTAGCCCCAGTTTTAAATATTACTCATCACCAAACAAGGTTAGTTAATGGTGAATGCTGCTTAGGCTCCAGCTAGTTATGGGGCAAGATGGTTTCTGCATATAAAAGCAGACAGAAATTCATCACAGGAACTAAGGCTCTCACTGTCTCAGGCTAAACATTTTCTACAGACAAGTTTCATACACTGAACAAATGAAAAGCACAGGCTCTCCAGATTTCTAGAACTATAGGAAATTAGCTGAGTTCCTTTTAACCACCTTCTTTGAATCAGTGCCCCAGTGCCTGGTACTGATTATATAAAAAAGGTCAGTATTCTTTCCCCACACACAGTTAGTCTCATCAGAATCATCAGTGATAGCTCTTTAACACTCATATTACCAGACCTACTAAATTAGAGTGTGGTACGGTACAGTAAGGCAGAGGGAGTGAAAGGTGGAGACGGGGGAGGTAGGACTCTGCACAGTCAGCAGATTCCCCATCAGTGGTTTGCAAAACGTGGTCCTAGGACCACCAGCACCAGCATCACCTGGGAACTTGTGAGAAATGCAAATTCTCTGGATCACCTCACCGCAGATCTACCGAATCAGAAACTCTAGGGATGGGCACAACATTCTGAATTTTAACAATCCTCCCAGATGATTCCACTGCTTCCTCAAGCTTGAGGACCACCGCATTCAGTGATTCCTCATGCCTCAAGATAGTGTGAGAATTACTATCGCCAGGTGTGTTAAACAGCTGTACCTCAGTAAGAACAAATTTACATTTCTTTTCCTATCCCCATCCAGTCATCTTCCACCATCAGGCCTTGTGCATGGACGCAGGATGCAAATACCATAAAGGAAGAAGGGTAGGGGGAGAGAGACTTTATTTAGATAAAAGCAGATAAATGAAGGGACATATTTCTCCCCTTTAAAGAAGCAAACACTCTCATGAAATAAGAAAATCCCCAGGAAGAGATAACCCTAAGAAGATCTTAACTCTGCTAATGCTTAGCTTTTAGTGCCATTTAAATGATTTGATAACATAATTTACAGGGACTTTATTTAGTGTTAATATTTGTGGTTCCTTTGCAGCCTATGAACCTCTGGCCATGAAAAGGAGTGTTCGAGGTGGATGTTTCTGGGACACCACAAAAACCTCACAGATGACATGTGAGCCATGGGTTATGACGACTTTGGAAAACACTACAGTAAATACTTGTTGTCTTAATTTTCTGACATAAGTAAAAACAGATGCTTGGATTGAATGGCTGATTAAGAACAAGTGCTATATAATGCAATTCGGCTGGCAAATTGAGGGTCGCCTAAAACTAAATGGTGTTCTTTGTAAACAGCTGAGAATGGCACCTGAACATATTTGAGAAAGCACTGACATGTTGGCGAAAAATTGTGGGAGATTTCTTGCCAAGAGTACGTGGAGAAGGAGTTTTGACTAACCTAGAATATGACGTATTGTTACTTCTTTAAGTGATTCAAGGGCATTTTTTATTAGTCTGGTGATACAATTGTAGTATCAATATTTTTAATTTGAATTACTGTTCCCCAAACAGGATAACAAAAACAATCACTTGCTCCTGTGAAAGGCTGTTTATAAAGAGTTTTGCAACTAGGTTGTTCTGCATGAGAAGAAAACTCTAAACCACACTAATACCAGTATGTTGGTCAATCAAAACATCGATGGTGGGGGGAGGGTATAGCTCAGTGGCAGAGAATGTGCTTAGCATGCACGAGGTCCTGTGTTCAATCCCCAGAACCTACTTTAAAAAAAAAAAAAAAAAACAACTACTCTCCCTCTAAAAAAAAACTTGAGACCTGAAAAGAGTATGGACTAATTAATAACAATGTATCAATATTGGTTCCTTAATAGTGACAAATGTAATACACTAAGGTAAGATATAAGGAAAAGTGAATGTGAGTTATATGAAAAAAAATCAGTGGTGCATGACACCAAATTTTATCCAGTCTCAGATTTTCATCTTTTTCATATTTATTTGTTTTTGATTTGTATTACAAGGAGAACCAGCACAACAGTGCAGCATGGCACATACATGTGTAAGCACACACACCTGGATCTGGAAGCCCAATTTTATATACTTGTCTGTATATTTCTTCCCCTAGTCTTTATTACTGTGGGTCACGGTTGAACAAGCCAAGAGAACATATCAAGTTTCTATGGCATAGAAAGTGGAAGGTCTTCCAGGCACAAAGATGGGAATGGGAAGAAGACATGAGAGCAGAAAACGGGAGGGCTGTCAGAGTAAGAGGAAAATTTGGAAGTCGTCTGTTGAGGACTGCAAAGAAAAATAGAACAAGAGAGCCAGAGAAACAGAGATCAAAGAGGGAGCCTGGTATGTGGAAATGGTATGAAATGCCTGCAGCTAGGATCCAGTTGCCAGTTAGAGGATCACATTTCATGAGGACAGTTGACACAGAAGCTCAGTTTCATGGCAATGTTGGCTACCAGTCAAATGAGGGGACACATGGCATTTGAACTTAAGGTCCACTGCGAGCCACTGGTAAAGGCCGAGTTCTCTGCAAGTTCTTTAAAATATCAAACACCAACAACTTCCACAGGACAAAAATCCAGGAACAAAGAGAAAAGTGACCTTACAAAAGAACACTGTAGTATCTGGCTTTTATCACACGTATGCTGTTGCCATACTTCAAGGCACATAGCAACGTGCATCATGTTCAAAAGCATCTAAGAATGAACTATGGTGTTAACATATGATATAGTTCATCCTACCTGACATGCACAGAGTTTATCAGATTAATGTAAGTTCATGCATTTTGCAAGCTTGCTGATGCCAAGAAAAATGAGCAGGAAGTCACAATATTTTCAATTAAGTGGAGCATTTAGAATGACATTCCTGCCTTGAAAAAAATAAAAAGTGTGCACTGTCTTTTAAAGGGATGAGTCCTGCTGAATCCAAACAGATGAAGAGTCAGCTGTGAGATGAGGACAAGGGCCAAAGCGGCCAGCAGCAGAGGTGGGGGGTGGAAGCCAGGAGAATATTCTGGGGGCTCTTACGGTGTTGGGAGAATGGGGAACGGGGAAAGGAGGGAATTTTAAAGGAAAGAGAGAGAGAAGGAGGCTGAAGGGAAAGGAGGATTAGGAACAAAACGAGGGCAGGCAGAGAAAAAAGCAGTCTCCTGAGAGGACTGATCAGTCATCTGATCAGACCAACCTGATGCCTGAGAACTGACCAGACAGACTGCAGCAGGCATCGGGGAGGAGGCAGATCACACAGAACTGCATCCCAAACATACGTGGAGGACAAATTGACCAAGTGCTCCCAAATCTTTCACGATAAAAGGTAAATCTTCTCTGACAAAGAGCTTCCAAACCCCTGTCAGGAGAGCTGGACAAGGGAACAGGAGCTGCTGATGGCAAGAATTGTGTTTTAAAAAACCCAGAGTGCCTGGTCCTCCTCCTCAGGCCCTGGGTCACTGTGAGGCTGACACATCACGGGCCCAGACACACAAGACTCTGATACCCAGCCACCGAGCATTCTTTGAGCTCAGCCTCTTTTCAGGAAGTGTCCAGGAGACAAGAGTGCCTAGATCTTTCTCTAGCTGTGATGGTAGGTAGAGTTTTCAAAATTGTGGCTGGTCTTTCTCATCCCTTTTTACTTAGGTTTGGAAAATTACTGCCAAAAATCCATCAAAATCACCCTAGTATTATTTATTAATGGAAACCAAAAATAGAATGGGTATTTTTTTATTATTCCCTTTTTGCAGGGAAGCAGATCTGATGTTCAGAGAGGTCAGGTCACTCTTGACTGGCTCACATTTACTCCTGTACTTTACCCACTAGCCCTGTTTTCCAATATTTAATCCTCTAATTTTCATGAAACTATAGTTTAGGGTAAACCTCAATGGCAGAACATGGCAAGCATCACTTTCCTTCTAGTTCTGGTAATTAGAGAATTATTCTGTGACAACAGGATCATTGGGGTATTTTAAGAGGATGAGCCAGGAGAGGAAGGGTGGAGCCATTCTTCAGATCATCTGATCCCTTACTCCAAACTTACTGGCCAGAGACACTTTAACTCCATCTGGGAAAGTGAAAGGAGATGGAAACTCTGTCCTGTATCCCCTGCCGGCGTATCTGTAACAGGATTGAATTCCAGAGTTCTCTGCCAGCATGACTTTGGCAGCCACCCCAATCCCTCCTTCAATGACAGAATCTGCTGCTCCCAGAAAGGAAAGCTTGTTAGGGCTTGCACGCCCACACACACACGTGTGCACAGTGGACTCTCAGCAGGGCCCTTGGAAAACCAGAATGTTTACTTATCAGCCAACAATGGAAAAACCAAAGGATGGCACTGAACGAGAAAGGAAATCTGAAACTGCCCTTTCGTCTCTTGTTGGAAGCAATGTACCCCAGCTTCATCTTAGCAGGGGTCCATTCTCCACTCAGTGAGGAGAGACCTTTCATTTTGGAGACATGGTGGAATACACTTCAAAGACCTTTCAGATCATAACTCATCCTAGGTGCTCATAAATTATCCTTCACATAAAACAGAAAGAAGATGAGCTGGAGTGTATGGTTAACATGCACAATTAAAGATACCATTTCCATAGGCAATTCACATAATCTGGAACTTTTGAAAGGGGCAATTTATTGAATGTTTGTTTAACTCTTGTATTTTACATTGATGGGGATTATGAGGTGCTTTGTTTTTCTTCACATATGACATGAATTTTTTTTCTTCTTTATGTGCATCTATATCACTTTAAACTAGTGCATGGCACAGTGGGAGAGCTTAACTCCTGCAAATTTTGGTTGTTTCATAAGGATAAAGAATTTAAGACACCAACAGTTTCATCTAAAAGAAAATGGCCCTTGAGTGGCCAAGTTGTATTAGTCTTAAACAGAACTAATTTCAAATTCATTGAAGGCAGGAAATATCTGCCTTATAATCCTAATATGATGATTTTTTAAGTTAACTGAATGACAGACTAAATCAATGTTAAGTCCAGTCCTGAAAAACACAATTAGCCACAACTACTCAGACCTAGCCTCTGAGATTTATAAAAGCATACATTAGAATTTACGTCTAACACCAAAACAAATGTTAATCTCAATTTTAAACATTTTCTTATGTAGCTGGAGAAGGAAGTCTCAAAATTTTTCCAAATAATTCAGGAAGAAAGTAGCACAAAATAAAAATCACCTTTAAGTTGATATTAAAACTCAAACAGCAAAATAATTCATTTGCAACTTTTAAATTTTACCCTGCACTCATCCAGAAAGATTTATCAAGCACTGCAAATTTTCAAAACCCATAGATCAGTGGTTCTTAGTTTGGGCCACATGAGGAATTTTTAAAACTCTCCCATCCCAGACCAATTAAATCATAACTGAGCGAGGAAGCAGAATAGGACTGAAATTTTTTTAAACTTTCAGTTATTCTAATGTGCAGGTTACAACTACTGAGATTAGATGTTATGGTACTTGCATGCAGAGCTAAATTTACTTTAAAAGAAAACACTGAATTGCTATGTCTCAGATGAAGCCTGAATTAGATCCCAATTTTCTTTAAGATTAATTTCTAATCTGACTGGAAGGCACTTGGAGTGGGTGGATTTGGCCTCATTTTCTAGTGTATGGGTTTTAAATGTAGAGTCTCTGATTAGAGAAAAGTCATGAAAGTTTATGAAGTCATCACATCTTTTCATTCTTCTACAGAATCCCACAGGGAGAGACATTAGCTGACTTTATAGCTTGCTGTATTGAGAAGGCCTGAAAACTTCATTCTAGCTTTAAACTCTCAAATTTCTATCAAAATCACTAGGAATATAAGTCAGGGTTTTGTTAGATCAGGGAAACCTACAACACGCTATAAAGATCTCTCTGTGGAAGCTTCTTGGTGGGCAACCCAAGCTAAAATTTTGAGCAGCAGAGTATGTCCTGATTCAGTCTTGCTGTTCACAGAGCTTTTATAAAGTAGCCTGAGACCTTGAAGTTTATCCTTCTTCTTATGTACCTTCCAGGCCTTTGGGACCATCCCAACACAAGAAGAAACTGTGGGCTAGAGAAAAAAATCCACAGAGTACTCTAGTATTAAACATTCTACAAGGTTCATGTTAAGACACATGCACCCCAATGTTCACAGCAGCACTATATACAATAGCCAAGACATGGAAACAACCTAAATGTCCATCAACAGATGACTGGATAAAGAAGTTGTACCATATTTATACGATGGAACACTACTCAGCCATAAAAAAGAATAAAACAATGCCATCTGCAGGACATGGATGGACCTGGAGATCGTCATTCTAAGTAAAGTAAGCCAGAAAGAAAAAAAAACCATATATCACTTATACGTGGAATTTTTAAAAAAGGACACAAATAAACTTATCTACAAAATAGAAACAGACTCACAGACATAAAGAACAAACTTATGGTTACCAGATGGGAACCAAGCAGGTGGGAAGGGGTAAATTGGGAATTCAAAAATTTCACCTCTTGGGGAGTGATGGAAATGTTAGCTATCTTGATTGTGGTGGTGGTTTCATGGGTGTATACATCTATCAAAATTCACTGAGTTGTACATCTGAAATACATACAGTTTACTGTACAGGAACTATACCACAATAAAGGTGTATCAATCAATCAATCAATCAATCAAGGAAAAAAAAAGAATATATTCTGTCTACAACCTAAATTTTGTGTTTTGATTCCCAGAGCATATGGAGGAATTAACACCAAAAACGATCTGAAAGAAGCTCCTTTAGTTTATCTAGTTGTCACCATCACATCCACTGCTAGGAGTATACTTTCTTCCTCTAAACACAGATTTAATTCAACCTTATAACAACTCCTCCATTTGCCAGAAAAGTCACTCAGTGACATGTCAGAAGTATATTTTTATGAGGACTGCATCACCAACTTCACAGGTGTTAGCTGCTTAGTATCTGCACATTTTGTTAAAGAAAAACTGTGTTTTGTCTTATGTTATCTCTTTTGTTTAAGAGATGATGACACCTGAGTCTTAAAAGGAAAGCAAAGCTTCTATTTGGGGGGAATTTACTTTGCATACCGTTCCACATGGATCGACCACACTTGATGTACCACTGAGGAAATCAACAGAGGACTCTAGGCATCGACTGGACTCTTATATACAGAAAATAAGATTCATGTTGGGTGCTGAGTGTGGACCTTGAGTCTTTGTACCCTTACGATATTCATCTCAACTCTCGGTGATTTCCTGCAAACAACTCCAACTGTAGTGCCAGACAAATTGGCAGTTTGCCTACTGGTGGCACCTGTCACCAAAGACTGAATTCTGCGGGAATTGGATGAGGTGTTAATGCTCAAACTGGCATATTTTCTGGAGTTTGATTTCCTGTATCCATAGTTCCACTATATCACATACAAGCCATGTGACTTCAAGCATCTATTGGCCAATCTGTGGTGAGTAGACCCTAAGATAACCCCCAGTAATCCCCGTCTCCTGCTTCTGTGCAGTCCACCTGCGTGACAGGACCCAGGAGTTGCTTCTATCCAGTAGACTATGGTGAAGGGGATGGGCTGTCACTTCTATGACCAGGCTGCATAAGATTGTGATTTCCATCTTGTCTGCACACACATCTGGGCTTATCCACTTTGATGAAGCACTGACCATAATAGAGAGACCAGTGTGGCAAAGCGCAGAGGTGACCCCTAGCCAATAGCCAGTTTGGAAATGAGGTCCCCAAACCAAGGACCCTGAAGGAACTGAATTCTACCAACAGCCAAAAGAACTTGAAAAAAAAAGTAGAAAGAAAATAAGCCCTCCCTTGCTTGAGCCTTCAGATGAGACCTGAACCTTGGCCAACGTCTTTGTGGCAATCTTGTGAAAGACCTTGAAGGGGAGAACCCAGCTAAGGCAGACTCAGACGCCTCACCCACCAAAACTGAAATAATAAATGTGTGTAGTTTTACATCACTAAGCTTGTCTTAATTTGTTATGCAGCAATCAATAACTAACATATTCCTTAGGCTTAGTTCCTCATCTGTGAAGTGGGCATAATAATATATATTTCATAGATATCAGGTTAAAATGAGATAATTTATATAAGCACTTTGCATTAAACAGCCTGATACAGAGTAACATGGTTAATTGTTATCATCGTCTTTAAATGTTATTTTAACAGAATGTATGTATGTAAACCACTGGTTTTCTGTTTTTGCCATGTTCATTCTTTGGCTGATACTATTTACTTTTATCTTTTTATTTTACTATGCTAGTAATGTCTCACATTAGATTATCCTATCAATTTTTAATTTTACATGTACACTTTTATTAAGTTCATCGGTTTACTTTCAACATGATCTCTCTTATACCTACTTTCATAAATAGCAATCAGGAATCAGGCAAAGGGGAAATCTTCTGAGGATGGTGAGCCAGATAGAATGGTGGCTTACATCTCTTTAATGGCCCTTCTTTCGTTAGACACCTCACTTTTGTCTTGGACACCTATTCTGTCAACTCACATTAACCTATAAAAACATTTTAAGTGTCTTTTCTACAGTACAGCATGGATGAATCACTCTATTCTCCAGTGCTACCCTGTACCCCATTAACTTTTGAGGGAGAGAGAAAGAGACTAAAATTCCTTAATATTTAGTATCTCATAGCCTGACATAGTCTATAAGACTAAACTAAACTAGTAAACATATAATTAACACAGAGAAACCTTATTTTTAAGCACTGGATTCTAAAAATGATAGTCTTAAAATCAAAAAATTATACTTGATCAACTTTTACATTCCTAATACAGATTTCTTTTATCACAAGGGCTGGATCTCATTCAGTTTTACCTAGTAGACACTCAATAAACAGTACCTGAACAGACAAATCCATACAACTGCAAAAAAATTTTTAGAACTCTAAAAGATGCTAAAATAATTCTCCTGTGGTTTTCAAACTTGTTTTTGTTTAGCAGTGAAACCACTTTTCCCCAGTAAACTCTTTAATACAGTCCTACCAGTATATAAATATACATTACTCTAATAAAAGCAGAACCCTGCCCACCAGAGCTCTTGGCACTCCCCACAACCTCCCTGCCCTAAGATGGTAGAGACCCTCCCTGGCCCATTGCAAGTGTCAGCCATGCTTTGGGAAAATGAACAGGGCCACTGGAGTAATACCTTCTTGTTTTGACAAAGTAAGGTTAGGAGGATGGAGAATAAGAGCTAGACCCCAGGTGAGTGGCTGGGAAAGTTGAGTAAGACACAAGAGCCCTCTACTCCAAAGGCAACCTTCTGTTTCTACTTTGTAACCAGACTTGGGGAGTCAAGGCAGAGGGAGGCAAGGAAGACACATAGTTGCATCCTGTGCAGACTTCTCAGCCTTGGCTTCCCCTCTGAGTACTTTAACACCTGCTAAGCCCAGGCCCCTGGGGGCAGCCTGGGCTATGGCCATGCAGTTTTCCCTGCTGGGAAGAACCCTCCACTAACCTCCTCCTTGCCCCAGTGTCTATTTGTCCCCCAGGCTTCGACTTGGGTACCTTATCCTCTTGTAATTTTCAACCCCTCCAGTCTGAGTTGGGTCCTTCTGGTTCTTAAAGTTCTTTTGCTTTAGCCAAATCTGAGAGTGATCTCACTCCATGGTAATTACACCTTTACATCCCTGTCTCCTCCATCAACCAGAGAGCTCCCTGAAGACACGTATCAAGCCGTGTCTTCCCAGCCTCAGTGCTCTGCATATACCTGGAATATAGTTTGTTACTTGAACAAATTGACATATCTTTACGTAGAGCACGGAACTGAAATTACATAGAAATTAGTGGTATGGATTTTTGCCACTTGCTTGCTGTGTGAATTTGAGCAAACCACTTAAATACTCGGAAGCACAATTTTATACTCTGGAAACAGAGAGTTATAAAACACTAGCTTTATAGGGGAACTTCAATAATTTAACTAGTTTTCCACATTCAAAATATTTAGCCCTAAATTACCACAAACAATACGAGCTCAGAGAATGTTCTCTATAATTATAATGGTAAGAGTTATTAATAGCTACGAGCGTTCTTGTTACTATTATCATCTGCCTGGGTTGTTTCATCCTTGGAATGAGAGATCTCTACGCTGCCAGGTGAGACCTGAGGCCAAAAGCCAGCTGCCTCTTCCCTCTGCACCGGCCAAGAATCGCAGCCAAGAGCCTCATGCCCTTGGGGCCATCAGATCCCACTTGTATCTGGAATGGTCCTCTGTGGCTTCCCTGACCCCTACCTCAGGAGGACTGACAGAGCTGCTTAGAAATAGTAGCCTCTGCCTTCTGGCTGACTGCAACCTTCAGGACACTGGAGTTTCTGCAAAGAGATGTGTCAGGCCCCTCATGTCCCATCAGAAGCTTTTGTGGTTCCTTTCACCTCACATTGTTCTCTGTGGTTTTTATTTCAGCCTGGATGCCAGGAGAGGAAAAAAAAAAAAAAAACAGTTCCATGGTGCCAAGAATAAAGAATCTGAGAGGTAGCTGGAGCACAGGGGCTTTTGAGGGTGTAAAACAACACGGTGATTCTTCTCCAGGGCCTGTGTGTTATGGTCTAATTCTCCTCCCAAAACACAGGTTCGAGCAGCTCTCTCCCGGAGGCTCTAGGAGGCTTTACTAGTCCCCGCCAGAAAGCTGATCTTCAGACAAAGGTGCAGCTTTCCGTAGAAGAAAGCAGCCTTTGAATTTGACAATCAAACGCTGGGTTGAGAGAGGTCAGGCTGGAAGACAGTAGAGGGCTTCTCTCATTGTCCTGTAGAGCAATGCTTAACTCCCGGGCCCCACCTTTTGCCAAGAATGTGCCACTTCATTTGTCAGCCTCCGAGAGGTTCGCAGGATGGTTTGGACACAAGATCACATATTATTCGGTATGCACATTTTTTCAGTATTGACTCACCTTTCTGTGACTCGGTAAAGATTTTCCGAATACTTGTTGTATGTCAGAGCCTTTACTAAAAGCTTTGCACCTTTTATCTCATTTAATCCTCATATGCAATGAGAGAGTTATCATGATTTCCATTTTACAGATGAGAAAACTGAGGCTTAGCAAAGGTAATTGATTTGCCAAAGAACATAGTCATGAAGGGGTAGGGAGGAGAAGTTCATTAACAATTGTTAAAACTTTATACTAAACTTTTAAAAAGTAAGAAAGACTCTTCCAGGATCTTGTTTTCTGTACCAAAGTATGTGGTTATGTATGCAAATAGGTGTGAGACATGTAACAAGAGATTTCTTGAGAAAAAATTTCCTTTTCATATAAATAGCTAGCTATGTTGATCAACTACACACACACACACACACACACACACACACACACACGGAGTAGATATGTTCTGTGGAAAACGTGAAGATTAAGATAATGTTTATGATCTTTACAAGATAATGTTTATGATCTTTACAAGAAACCATTTTATTCAAGGGAAGGGTAGCATTCACATGTTTACTCCAGAACATAACTCCTAAGATTTAGTTCAAAACAGGGCAGAACACAGATTTCAAGTCAGGAACCTGGGATCCACATCCTGGCTCTGTCATCAATGTGGGGAAGTTAACTAAATCTCTCTGCCTTAGGTTGTCTTCATTTGTAAAATAAATGATTACGTTGGTCGGTGTTTCCCAAATATTGGCTTATTATGGGGGTTTCATTAATCTGTCATGAAATTAGAAAAATAAAAACAATGGACTTATTTGTATAAATTGATTTGTTTTATAAATCTGTTGCATTGGCTAGCTTTTATGAGCAATGTAGAATTTCCCCTCCTTTGAACATTCGCACATGGCATAATTCACGTATATCCTCTATAATGGAAACCTAATATTAAAAATATACGTGCATTTTTATGAGTCCATAAATCCAAAGTTCTTGGAACCACTAGACGAGGTGACCATTTGTCCTTTCTGGCTCCAAAATTCTATCCTCGTCTTAAATGACAAATGATATTTAACTAACTCTAAAGTAGGAAGGAAAAAGAAAAGCAAACTTTTTTTTTTAATTTATTAAATTTTGCAGTGGGGAGGTAATTAGGTTTATTTATTTACTTTTTAATGGAAGTACTGGGGATTGAACCCACGACCTCGTGCATGCTAAGCACGCACTCTACCACTCATTTATACCCACCCTCAGAAAAACCTTTCATCTCTTTTTCTCTAATTTAGTTCAGTATTTCCCCAAATGTGCTCTGTGAAAGATAAGCCCCTGGCAAGATATGATAGCTATTCCACTAGAAAAAGGATTCTTAGTCAAATGAGTTTGGGAAACAATGTGTTTAAAAAGTGAGATAAGTTCCTCTACAGAGAAATTTTCAGAGCCTGTCAAGTTCTAAAGCCTGTTGTGACTTCCCCGAAACAGAAAAAAACATGAATGCTCCCCCAAGTAACTGACGGGAGGAGAGACAGACGCCTAGCCCAGACCTCTTCTGAGGACATATACCTATTCCTGGAATGCAGTTTAAGAAAGCGACTTCAGCTAAAAGAAAGTTCCTCAGTACCTTCCATGAAAGAAAAAAAGATAGCCTTAGAGACAAGGAGATTTGACACTTATTTTATGGCATAATTATTTTAATGTGACAGGGTTGGGGTTTTTTTTCTTCCAAATTATTAAACCTATGGTTTTTTTAATTGCAAAAGAAATCTGGATGGAAATACTTCAGATTAAAGTGCAATGAACAAGACAAAAGTTTGAGGGCTCTATTTGACAACTTCATTTTTTTTTTCACCAGAACAAATAAAGGGAACTTGTGTCAAGAGATTTGTATCTAATGATTGCAACACGATAATCAAAGCATTTGGAATTTGCAGAAGTCTGCAGTAACAAAATTAAGGCTATCATCTGTACACAGTAAATATGAGGCAAAATGAAACCATCTGTAGATACTAAGTCTGAGAGAACCTCCAGACTTCTCTCAGATGGTGGGTCCTTGTTAAATATTGCAGTGGTGGGAAGAATTAATTCTCAATAGCTGTGGCTCATTATTGAGTTATTTGAACACTTTTACTATGATCAAGAAACAAAATTCTTGATAGAAGCAAAAGATCTAATAGTGTGCATTTTTTTGCATAATTATCTTATTAGAGTAGAGGAGGTTTACTCAGCCTTTTTTTTTTTTATTGCTTTTTATATCATCATGTGAAATATCAGCTAGCCAAACCCTTCAGCCTTCACACTCTGGATTCAAGTTTCACTTAACACATGGAGGAGAGAACAGTTTTCACTTGGGACAAGATGATCTTGGAGCAAACTATGCAGAGGGAGCACCTAGCAGGATCTTTTGGATATTGTGACACGAACAATCTTTCTTTCTGACCCTATGCACACCAGGTTTTTGACAAGCCTGCAGCTCTGAAATGCCTCCGATATTTCCCATCAAAACTGCACGGTAAGTTCCAGCCTGTTTTTCATAATCCTGCTGACTACAGCAGCCTGCAACCATAAAAAGCCTTCACAGACCTGAAGTTGGCTTAGAAAAGTGTCTTAGCAAAAGAACAAAAAAATACATGCAACATTCTGTTCAAAGATCCGAGAGAGGCAAGTTCTCCTTTGGGTGCTGATGGGCTCAAGAGATTGTTCTTAGGGCCTAAATTAAGAAATTTTAATTTTCTTCTGATGACATTTATAAACAAAATACCAACACTAAAATGAGAGCAATTTAGCCAGGAAAAGGGGGAGTGTCGTGTCCATCAAATTAATCCCTCTTCCAAACTCTGCGGGAGAGAAGTGCCTACAAATCAGCACATGACCATACTTCGGTGCGCCCTGCCTAGAACCCTTCAGCCTCCAAGTTAGCAGGTATGTGTGAGGTTTACACAATAGATTCAAGGTTTCAAATTAGCTTCTTTTAAGCCTTAAGCTACCACTCGTTTAGTCTCTGAGGAGGGGGATAAAAGCACCAAACAACACTTTTCAACAGACTACAACACCCATCTATACAGTATGATTCAATTTACAAACATCTGAAACAATACCATTCAATCTATAGTGCACAACTGCTAAACCCAGTAAGTTGGTTTTCATTTTCGCAACAAAGAGACCCACTTGAAAAGTAAATAGCAGAGGTGGGGGAAGAAAGGAAAAGTTTAAGCTATCTCTCCACACCTTTGAACTTTGATCCTCCGAGAATAATTCTGTTCCCCCCACCTGGTAAAGCAGATCACATGTAACATCAACATTTAAAAACTAGTCTCTCTTAAAGATTAGTTTTAAAACACAAAACATCAGAGCTACTTGCCTTTTGGCAATTTCTGTGCATTTCCCAGGGCTAGTGCAATACTTCCACAGAGGAGTAGACACCCCAGGCTGGACAGCATGTTGCATTTGCCACCTCACACGGGGAGTGATGCTGGTGGGTGTCCTGCAACCCTGGAGCTGCATTTAAGTGGACGGTCTCCCAGTGACAGAGGCGGGCGGCTGCACTTAGCTGTGCTGTGGGCTTACTCACAGGGGGTGGAGACAAAATGACATCACACCCTTTCCCACACACACCAAAAAGAAAAAGAAAAAAAAAAGCACAACAGCAAAAACATATCATCACATTTCCTGCTAGGTTCTAACTGTCTGTCTCTTCTCTTCCCTCTGTGATATATAAATTAAATTACAGCCAATTTCTATTTGTGAAAGTAAAAGGATTTAGGTAATTTTGAAACATCTGATGGACTATTTTTACAACTCCAGAAAAGACAGGCTTAAAACCATTGGAATGTTAAAAATATAAAATGAAACCTTATTAGGAAGGACACTGTTTTTAATTATCTAGTAAACCAATCCAGTTCTTCTTTCAAATGGGAGTAAACGCATAAAAATTCACTTTGAGCCGTTCTGAAGTTCCAATACCATGAGAAACTTTTAAGAGTAAGTCATTGGCTCCAAACTATTCATTGTATATAATACATATGTGCACACATAGATACGCACAGATATATACATACAGATAGTCTGCAGATACAGATGTGGAGGTAGAGAGAAACCACTGTCACTCGTCCATCCCCAGCCCTGGGACAGGTTCTGTGAGAGTGTCTTTATCTACATTACTGCAGTTTAGTCCTCACAGCAACTACACAGGAGGTCTTACACAGTGATCCCCACTTCACCAGTGAGGAAAACTAAGCCTCAGAGAGGTTAGGTGCCCTGATCAAGCTAGTGTGTTCTCATGGGTAATAATTTGGATGGGCTTGGAATAGAGGTGACTGGGTGTTAATTTGGATGCTATGTGCCTTTGAACAAATTTCTCCATCTAGATCTCATTAACATGGGCTACGTTTAAGTGCTTGCTCCGTGCCAGGCACTGATCTGATCAATTCGCATATATTCATATTTATTCTTCAAAATAACCTAGGAGACAGGCATTGTCATCACCCCCATTTACAGACAGAGGAAGTTTACAGACAGAGGGTGTGGAGAAGTTCAGTGAAAAGTTCAAGGTCACAGGGCTAGTAAGCAACAGAGCATTTTAATTTCAATCAGACAACTGAACGCAGAGCTTCCAGTCTTCATTAGTAAACTCTAAATTCAAAAATAAGATGATAGTACCAATTTCATAAATTTGCTAGCAGGATTTTGGGACAGTATTTACCACAGCACCTGACACACAGGACGCACCTAATAAATGACAATCACTGAAAACAACAAAAAATAATGACAATCCTAACCTGCCCCAATTAAGCAGAACTATGGTTCTACCCCAGTACACCCCCCTCCAGAGCCCGTCTGTGTCCTCTCCCTCCGTATCACACTCCCCCAACACGGGCATTGCTGGAATGACCAAGTTAATCAAGTACTTTCAACATCGTTGGTACATTTATATCAACTCCCTAAAAATAGTTTATTTCATGAGGGTGCTATAGCTGAACCAAAACAGTAAAAGGGAATTGGAATGACGGTGGTCAAACGAAATTCTAGTCAAAAACTTAGTAAAAAGAAAAAAAGGAAAATTGAAGAGACAGCCCCATCTTCCAAATAAAGCGTGAGAAGGCACGCTGTGAAAGTCACTTGGAGCGGGCCCACACTGAGCGCTCACGCAGGAACGCCCTGGCACCGGCTCCGGGGGGACTGGGTTGTTTAACAGGTCCTTTTCGTCTCTAATTTTTCACTTGAATAGGCAGCTCTCTCCAACTCGCGTTTGGACCTCTGTCCAGCTGGCACTGCGGATTCTGCTTCTACACCTACTGCCATCAATTAAGCCAGTGAGGTCGCTGTGCTCCCAGGAAATGACAGGTTGTTTTGTTGTTTTTGTTTTGTTTTTTTTTTCTTGAGGGGGTAAAAAAAGAACAGAAATATTGGGGAAAAAAAATAGACTGGTTCTTCAAAACCCTGTGAGGGGCTGTTCCAAGGGTTAGGTAGGGGGATTCAGGAATCAGCCTCTGCCTGACCTGCGGGCCACCTCAGGCCTACATTAGCCATCGCTATTTCTAGATTGGAACTGATTGGGAGCTACTTAAATCCAGGGCGGTCTCTGAGGAGGATTTTGTCAGAAAAAGGTGACTGCATTACTTAGACAGTAGGACAGTGAACATTCAGTGAAGACGGCGAAAGTGCAGAGCTCTCCTCAGATCTGGGAGGAGGCACGTCCTGAAGAAACAAGTCACATCAGAGGGGCCATTTCACCTTCTCAACAAACTGAAAGTTTTCGGTTGAGCTGGAGCCCCTCCCCAACAGGAAGCAGACACACCCTCCTGAAGGTGTGTGAGGGCCCTGCTCTTGGAAGAAGACATCAGGGCTGTGGTCACGTAACCACTGGAGGATTTAAGCCATATTTAAGGAAGCATTACCTTCCAACCATGGGACCCTGGAGGTGGTGACACTGCAGGAGTTTGCACGCCACCCTCAGGTTTCCCTGGTGTCCCTAGAGAACGTGGACCCTGGGTCCTGGTTCAGATGCCTCTGTAGGCACTTGTGTCTGTATTTTTCTGGAAACACAAAAATGTGAAGCTCCGTTACTCGTGAGGTTGTAGAATATCACACTGTCACCAATATCTGTGGGAAACCTTGTTTTGCACATTTATACAAAGCCCATAAGACTGTATACCACCAAGAGTGAACCCTAATGTAAAGCATGAACTCTGGACGGTCACAATGTGTCATTATAGGCTCATCAGTCACGGCAAACAGTAACAAACGCTGGCAGGGGGTGCTGGCAACGGGAGGGCCGGGGATACATGGCATATCTCCGCATGTGTGGGAGCAGGGGGTAAGTATAAAGGAAATCTAAGTGCCTGCTGCTCAGTTTTGCTGTGAACTTAAAAACTGCTCTGAAAAATAAAGTTTATTACCAAAATATCCTTAGGAAGAACACTTAGAAAAAGCTTCTGGAGAAACACAGAAACTACGTTTGCGTTCTCTCCATTCTGTGAAGGCAGGGGACCATGACAGTTTTGTCGATCGCCAGACCCAGTAACAAGACTGTAATAAGAAGACAATAAGTTAAGATGAGTAAGTGTCACATGAAGCAGAATCCATCGATTCCTCCACGTGGTCTACAGGTATCAAGCCAGAGAAGGCTAGACTGTGACTTGGAATGTACAGTTGCTGGTGGGGGAGCACCTCCCATTTCTGGATGTCCTAGAGCATGATTCTCTGTGCTTCAGACTATCTTTGCAATGACGTTTGCAGAGCAAACAGTCTTGGAAGATGGGATTTTGTTTACTGACCCATATAATAAAGGGAACACGTGCTTACTGCCTATTATCAAAGATTCAGGTTCCTTAAGCTCAGGGCTCCTTTCTTATAATACAACCTGTGGCATATGTAGGTATCACCTGTACCTCCTTGTGTGGGCTTGCGGGAGCTGGGGCTCCTAGAACGAGCACAAATGCTGATATTCAGGCTACGACTATTGCTGGGCTTCAATACACTCACTGTCCTTTGTCTTTTGACTCAGCATCCTTGGTTCTCCTGCCAGCATCTGGGAGCTGTGCATGTTAGCTTGTACATATGGTAAAATCTCAACCCTTCACAGTGCTGGACTTTAGGGTTGAGCCACTTCATAACATTTTACTAGGTAATCTTTGGTATAGTGCCACCACCTACATTCAGGTCCACAGTAAGCTGCCACGACGCTCTATTGTGCTTAAGAGTGCTGCTGTCCTTGCTTGTTAAATCACATAGTACCCTCTTCAGAAGAACTCTGGGGAAAAAACTTCTGCTCTCCATGTCAAAAAAAAATATATATATAATGCTTTTTTGAGCAACTGCCTTTATTTTGTGACATTGTTCTCTTTCTGTGCTGACTGCTGGAAGACCAGAACCAAATGTGTTCCCCACCCATACTAAGTGCATACAGGTCTTTGCAATGTGCATGTTTTGGCATCATTCTTGGCTTTTTTTTTTAATCCCCACCCTTTTTGCTTGCTTAATTTGCAAGTCTTTATGTGGTTTTGTGAGTTGCTTTCACTTTTTTCTGGAACAAGGTGAGGTAATAAACAAACTCCATACGCAGGAGTTGTGTCAAAAACATGTGTCAAGATAGGCAAAGTGGGAACCTGGGAACGCTCTGTCTGCTTTCCTTTTCTCCACGGTAGAAGACCCTGATGGAACTCTGGTACAACAGTTGTATAGCATCATTTCTTCAGTTGTATTTTCTCTTTGAGAAAGTGGGTAAAAGGCAGGAGGATGACCAGAACACTACTCTAAATAAGTGTCATAGTTTTTGGTTGTTTTTGGCTTTGTGACTATTCAACATTAATTCCATTATTTCAAATGAGACGTCCACCAAAACTCGTAAATCTTTCAAATTCTGCACGTAAACTCTGGGCAATCATTTTACCCATTTGTTTACACTTTTGAGACTCTCATACACAGTGTTCTATGCTAGGAGATTTTTTAACGGCTTACGTATCTACGACTAATAAAATGCAAAGATCTGTTGTGGTTTTCTAGGGGATGCTAATAAAAATCATTTTTATTATGACTCATATTTGAAATGGGAAACCGAGTGTTCCATGTTTTCAGCCCAAACATTGTTTTCGTAATTGCCGTACAGAATGAGACTTATGGTCCAACTGGAGGAGGATCTTGCTCCAGTGGGGGTACTTCTGACCGGAGCATGAAGTTCTTTTCCACAATGCTTTTTATAGCAAGGGAGGTACCACCCTTTAAATGCCTAAGTGATGTCTGTGGGTCACTCTTCAGTCGGTTGGAAAGCATCTTGACTCTAGATTTTTGGCTTCATAACTTTGAAAGAATTAGCAACTTGTATTTATAAAAGACTGTAAAGAGTTTTTTCTTTCTATTAAGCTGGAAAAACAGGCTTCTTTAAGACCTAAGCTGCACATCTCTGAGCTGTCAAGTCTGCCTTCCTTGTTCTGTCTAAATTCTGCTTTCTTTGGGGAAGTGCTGAGTGCAGAGCTGGGCTTGGGCAGATAAAGGGAATATCTCTTGTTTAGGGTTCAAATGATGTAAAAATTGAAGGAGTCAAGT